TCTATGTTTAACGCAGGGGGAGAAAAACTAAGTCTTTTGACTGTTAATATACTCTGTTTCATGAAGAGCTCTTGACACCAACACTCCTGCATCTCTGTTGTATCTCAAGGTACCCTGTTGCTGAAGTCCTTTAAGTACCTGTTCCCAGTACTTGCTCACTCCCTTCTCGCCCAGTGTGCCAAGTTATTCAGGCATGTTAAGTGTGACAGAGAAGTGAGTGAGGAAATAACAAAAAGAGGATATGCATTTTTTGTGCATTAACTTCCTCCACAGTCCTCCTCCTGACAACTAACATACTAGTACTCCCTATACAAGTAGCTTTAAAATACTGCTATATAGAGAGCCTGCTCTTATTCTGCTGTATATATGGACAGCAAATTTATTTCTTTTTAATGACATGGGAATTAACCACTACGTTGACTGGTTAATTCCCAAATTACCAATGTGATCCTTGGGAGTGTTCCAATAGCTTTTACTACTGATGCAATTTTTTAATGCCATTTAAAACAAAACCAATGCATTCAAAGTCCTTCAAATTCAACACTACAGTATCACCCAACCACTCTATTGTGAGCTTGAGCTGTATCTTTGTTCTGCTAGAAACAGTCATGCACGTGTGCTCTCACAGTGTGCCTCTGTGGGAGGAAAACCGCATTACAAATTTTTCAGAAATTCATTGCTTTATTGCCACAGAAACCTCACTCTTGCTATATGGATTAAACAACTACCACCTAGAACAGCTAACTGAATGGCTTGATTTACTGCTGATGATTAAGAATTGTTAACACATTTATCAGTGCTGGAACACCTTAAGTGTCTAATCCACCAAGTTCTCTGAGCAGTAACAATCACATTTACCTTTTTTACACAGTTCAGTTCTGATCTACTAAGGACATTAAGCCACACCAAAATATAGAAATATTTAAAAGCAATGCATTTTATAAGCACATTTGACCAAGTGAAACTATGGCAACAGCAGTAACTGGGTTCTCAAATACGGTCAAATTATCTAAAAATACAAAAAAATTCCCTATTTTTCTTGTTTGGATTACTCCAGCCTTAAAACTGAATTTTCATATTTTAGCTCTGCTGTCAAGATAAAGTAACAGCAATGCTCAGCAAACAAGTATGAGTACTGAAAAAAACCTCTAACAGTCCCACTAGTGTAATTTTTCTAACCACCATATGAATTGAGTAATATACTTAAAACGGCAAAACGTGGCCAAAGAAGATGCAACGATACCAAGAGCAATGTTAATAACTGACTACTAAAGACTAGCAAGTGTTACGAGTAGGAAAACCACAGGGTGAGAAAGGATGAGGAAGAAGCTCAGCTTAATCTGTCAGCATCAGGGTCACAACACACCCAGCATGGCACCAGCCCGCTTGCTCAGTTTTGTCAGGAAAATTTTAGAGTATTGCTGTACTAGAAACAGAAGTGCTGCCTGATGGGACTCGGAGGAAGGGTATGAGAAGTATCCTACAGACAGACACACTGTTAAGATATGGACAATACAACATTTCATTCAGTAACTGAATTAGAAATAGGAAAATGTGATGTGCCCTACAGATAAAGCAGCCAAAAAGTAGGAAAAGCAACCCCACACTTTACCTGCATAAAGCACTCACAGTGAGCACAAACAGAAGCAGCAGATTCTGACTGGAACATTCAAACCAAAGGGTAGAGGTCAAATAGTTCCCCAGGAACTCTCCACTACTGCCAGCCATTGAGGGCAGAGGACTACTGCTAACAGCTGAGCTATAGTTCAGCCAGGGATTTTATTCAATCTCCTTGTGGGACTACAACATACCCCTGCAGCAAAAGAGATTGAGCTGAAAAAAGTGTTGTTGTTGTTTTTTGTGGTTTTTTTGTTCTTTTGTTTTTCACAACTATTACTGTATTAAAAAATACACACTAAGTACAGAACTATTAAAACAGTCGTACATATATGCTGGAATAAGGCTACCAGCAACACATTGACAAGAAGCAAGAACTCATTTAGGCAAGGACTGCTGCACACACTATTCAGTCATTTGGACCAATTGCTTATATTTTTATAAGCAGAAAATACCACTTTACCTCTTTTTAGAGAGGGATGGCACAGCTAGTAAACAGAAAAAGATCAAAGGCTGTTTGCTTCACACTAGTTAGAAATAAACCCCTCAAACTATTTTCTAGTTTTACAAAGACACTTTTAGAAGACTGTTTGAACTGTCTCAGGATTTTTTTTTTCACTCCGTATAACATCTACAAACAAAATTTCTTTTAAACACTGCATACCTGTAGCACTAAAGGATCACAGTCACCTCTGGGAAAATAAGTAACAGAAGCAAATTATCAAAAAAAATTCCCAATGTATAGCACTGTTTCCTCCCTTCTTTTACTTTTAAATACATAAAATGCTGCAGAAATTGTATCTGTATCAAATTTCTTATTTAAAAGAAAAAAAAAGTCCAACATTCACAAAATAAGAAAAAGGTGAAACTATTAAACATACTCCTTGAACGATCTCTTATCATAATATAAGCTGCACTGAATTTTTCTGTTTCTGTAAGAACAGAAGTATTCAGTCAACAGGTGAAAACTCAGATATTCTGGAGTAAGTATTTCAAACTTAATATTCATCTATTCTAGTTCTTCAATTACTAACTTTCTGTAATCCACCCTGTCTCAAGCTCAGGAAGTAATATGTTTGCTCACAATGAAGTGCCAAGGCAAGAGTATTACAGAGAATCTATTTAACCCATATAAACTTAAAAAAAACTACACAGAAATACAGAAATTAAGTGATTAATATGGAACTATCCATGGTAACACAAGATTCTAAAGTAAGATTTACAGTGTCAAGACAGACCTGTGCGATCATTTTCACTATTCATAACCAATTGTATGTTCTCAAATGAACATTGTATTAAAGAAATACTAGAGCTCCCTGACAACATTTGTAGCAGTTGTCACAAAGGGAAATTCCTTCAGTTGCAGCAAGATTCAGTTGCTCAATTTAAGTGAAAGCAACTAATAAAGATACGCAGTAAAACAAAGGAAGAATATATCCAGTTTGAAGTCTGATCACGCACCAAACAGGAATCAAGTACATGTCAGAACTGAGTAATAATAAGGGTTTTCTTTAAGTATATTTTAAAAATAACAATGAAAATAGAGAGGATATGCTAAAGGAAAGGAGAGAACACTTAACATGGATGTTCTGCACTGTCATGTTTAAAAGTGCATCAAACTGGAATCAAAGCATAGAGGCTGAACTGAATCAGGTTAACTATGGTACTCAGTACAAGAACATACATAAAAACAGTACACCTTACTTCTTGCTTTACTGTGTTGAATAGAAAAAGACTTGCTGAAAATCTTCCGTTCCTTTGTAGTTTATAATCAATATTCATGTACCAGGTCATGTAAAAATTGCACAAAGTCTCAAGAAAAACATACAAAATTTGTTTATGTACACAATTTTCTTACACTGCAGTATCTGCGAATGTATAGTATTGTTTGGGTAGTTTGGATGGCCAAGTGCACTTATCACTGCGTAAAAGCTGGAATTCTTTAATAAAGAAAACTGGTAGGCAGAAAAGCAAATGTAGAGTATAAGACCAAAGTCAGACCCAAGTCTCTTTTGTCTTTTTAGCACTGTGCTATTCTTCTGTAACTAGACAATATGTTGCACATATCAACAGGGCAACAAGCCATCTTTCAAAAAAGAATTCATTATCATACTAATTAAGCAACAGTTTAAATCAAAACCAGACATGTTTATAAAAAATTAATTTTTCCCCTCCCAAAGCTCCCAAAATAGAATTTTCTTATATGCTGTTGCTCTCTAAGAAGGGTCTAGAGCACAACTTTTATGAGGAGTGCCTGAGGGAACTGGGGTTGTTTAGCCTGGAGAAAAGGAGGCTCAGGGGAGACCTTTTCACCCTCTACAACTACCTGAAAGGAGGTTGTAGGAGGTGGATGTTGGTCTCTCCTCCCAAGTAACAAGCAATAAGACAATGGCCTCAAGTTGCTCCAGGGGATGTTCAGATTGGGTATTAGGAAAAATTTCTTCACCAAAAGCGCTGTCAGTCATTGGAACAGGCTGCCCAGGGAAGTGGTGGAGTCACCATCCCTGGAGGTATTTAAAAGATGTGCAGAGGTTGGCACCTAGGGACACAGTTTAGTGGTAGACTTGGCAGTGCTAGGTTAACAGTTGGACTCAATGATCTTAAAGGTCCTTTCCAACATAAATGATTCTGTGATTCTGTGAAGGGATCACAGTATCACTAGTAAGACATATCTCCATTCTCACAATCTTCTTGAGCTCCTCTTTCCTCATAATGAAGTAAATCCAATTAAAAAAAACCTGACTTTTGAAGGGTCACAAACAACACACAGTGAAGTCCTGATCTTCACTTGGTGATTCTAAACGTTTCTGGTATGTATTATACAGAAACACAAACTTTCAGCAGCTTTAGAACTGAAGATCCAGTATACCACAAGACACAGATCAAAACAGAATAGCTGTTACAGACACGTAGAAAACTGTTGCTTTCTGCAAGAACTGAACTTGTGTTTATTGAAAAGTTTGACACTGGCATTCCAAACAGTAACAGCAGTTCATAAAATATAACGGTCCAAAATGACTTTCAAATGGTGTAACTTACATCTATGTTAAGAACTCAAATAATGGCAAAGATCCAAAAATAACATGAGGGAGGACAAAAATTAAAATATGTCCTACTAAGATACGTCTTTCAAATTATCATTTGAAATTGTAATTTGCAGAATAAGCCAGTGAACAGTAAGTATTGCAGCGTCAATTTGGAAGTTATGTAAGATACAGCAAACATGGTTTAAGGGGAAATAAACACATCAAAACAGTAATCTGGTTCTAAGCACACACAATCAACAGGAAAAAAAAAAATCTTTAAATACTAGAACTAACATACTTTCAACAAGTAATGCAAAACATCATCTTAAATACGAAAAGGAATTTCATTAGACATACCTTTTCTCTCTGTTTTCTGTGCAGGGATGGAAGATGTGGATGTAGGCAGTTTTGATAAAGTAGATGCTCCATTAGCATCAAAGGATTTCTTTGGCTGGTGATCAGATTGTAGAGAAAATGGACTAGGAGGAACAGTGCTTGGGGTAGCAGTTGGATGAACCACTGGTTTGATGGGATGCTGTACTGGAGTAGAACTACTGTGAGTCTCTGCTCTTGGCAGTCTGTAGTCTCTGTCATTGTGCCTGCTTGTTTGAGATAAAATATTCTGTGGGAGCATACTACTGGCGTCACTGGAATGCTTGTCTTCCACTTTTTTCAGGATTCCCCAAGTAACATTGCAATAAGAAAAAAAGATTAAATTAGAAACTCATCTAAGATTGCAGTGACTTTGATTAATACAGCTGCATGTCAACAACTAGAGCTGATTGAACTTCTTATGATTAAAAAAAGCCTCAAGTACATCAGCATCAAAAAAGGCAAAATTTAATTTTACTCACTGACAAAATGCATTTTCTCTGACCTTTGCTTGATTTAGCGTTCCGGTTAAGCACTGTGTTTTGATGAAAGGCTGCTTTATAACAAGTGTTACAGTTCAAGTTAACTTTTGAAGTCTCCTAAAAAAATCTAAATCAAACTCTATTATTTCCATCTTATATTTAGCATGAAGAGATAATTCATACTGTTTTTCTTTTGTTCACTGAAAATCCTGAACATTAAGTATGATTTAATAGTTTCAATCTCTAGCCTTCAAAGAATTCCACTTCAACTCACTTGAATACTACTACAGAGAATTTACTTTCAATTGAATTAATTCAAGAAAACTATGTATTGAGTGAATAATCTGAATTCATCATATCATAGACTTTATGTTACACAAGGAACATACCAAGCAAATACAGAGTAAAACTTTATATTGATTCCTAGATTTTCACCTCTCACAAAACAAATAGTTACTGCAATATGCATTTCTGCTCTTTTTGTACCATACAGTATGTTTTAGCATATGCAGTATGTTTCATACACAGAGAACCAGCCCTTTACACATCTCTGCCTCGTCAAGTCCCAAGCAAAGGGTGGGGGATGGGACTGACGACAAACAAACCAACCAATTAATACTTTGGCTTCTACTTTTAAACCACACCGAGAACTATGCTACAAATTCACCCAAATTACATCGGCATACAGAATCTCACAATACAACCGTTTCCCAGAAAAAAATAACAAAGATTAAAGCTTTCAGGAAGAAAAATTCCAAGTAACAGAAATTCATACTCTGGGAAAAGGCTTTGCTAAGAGCACTGGCATGGTAAAAATATGCTTTCAATAATATACACAAATCTCCGAAACCCTCGATATCATAATCCATTAAATGCGCTTATTATTTTCAGATGTGAAATCAAGGTTTTAGAAGAGACTTCTGCATGTCTATTTTTAAGTTCAAACTATGACATGATTCAATGATCACAACAGTCCAACTACACCATGTGCAAACTGTTTCAATAACTACCTATAAAGATAATTAAATTCAGCAGTAAAGGCTGCAAAAAGGAGTATCACCATGAAAAGCATTAAGCAAGCACTGTACTAGTAAAGGCTCAAAGTTATTTTAAAAAACAACATTTGGGAGAGCTGTCTGCACTATCCGCTTTGGACTTTTTATATAAAAAGGTGAGAAAAACTGCTAAGGAAAGGGATTATTTATTTTTTTTATAGTTTGGAAAAGAAAACAGAAACACAAACAAGGCAAGAATATATTACTGTAAAAAACCACATACTTCCACTGGCAAACCCACTGGCAGCTGTCGCCTGCATCACCTCTCTTCTGTAATCCCTATCTTTTGGAAAACTGTTAACTGACATTTTGCTCGCTTCTTTTTGTCTCTGCTCTCTGAAGAAAAGAAAACACAAGTTAAGTAAGAACTTACATCATCTAATGATATAACACTTTCTAGAGGTGCAGTACATGAGATGAATTAAACTATCTTAAGGAGCTTTCTGCTGAAGACCCTAGTCATTGCTTCCTTACACACCATGCTTGTCAAAGCCCCCAATATACCAGTTCAGCTCACTAACACTGAAAAAAATTTGAAAAAACAAAAGACAAACAAACAAAACCCACCAAAAAACAAATCAACCATACCTCCCGCTCTGAATCATCAAGGGATAAAATAAGTGCCAGAGGTCATGGTAAGGGTATGAACACAACAGACTTGGACCACAGTCTTTTATAGCAGTAATCTGTTAGATAAGATCACTTGCTCTTAAGAATATTTGTTCTTTAAACAATGAAAAACAGACACACACATATACCTTTCCAGCCACTCTTTTGGTTTTTCCCATTGTGAAACTTCTGTTCGGCAGTTGTAGTAGTACTTTTTGCCTGAAGAGCTGATGTGTTCAGACCAATCATCCGCAGAATCATATGCCTTTAAAATACAAACAGTGTTGGACAAAAAACTACTTGAGAATTTTAATATACAAATTTAAAAGCTTCCACCATTTTTAAAACTACATGGCATCCTCATATGCATCCATAGCACTGCTTTCCATTTACATCATCTCTAAATGCCTGTTTCATTTTGATAGCTTGAAGATGTGGCCACTATGCTCCTGTTGCATTCTGCAAGTTTCCTCTGTTTTATTTCAAACAACCCCGAAACACAATCTAATAGTATGTTTAGTGGGATCCAGTAATATCAATACTGATAACATTAGTTTTCGGCACCTTAATACTTCCCCAAAAATTATGTTTTCAAATTTTTGCTATACTTCAAAAATTTACCTGTTGTTTTCAGTGCAATTTTTAACAAACACCACCCTAACTACTAAAACTTGGGTAATAAAGTGACTAAAATTCACAATGTGTAATGTATCTTAAATTAGTTAAATCATATTGTCTTCTCTAGATTTACTAACAAATTTCATGGAAAACACTTCTCTCTATATGTACTTCAGTTAAATAATCTAGTGTTTGAAAATTCAAGACAGGTACTTCAAAGCTCCAATGATTAACAATTAGAATAGTTTCACAACATATAACAACTGCAACTTGGGTTTACAGAGTGTTTATAAAATAAAGACTGATGCTGGAAAACTCAGTGAAGCAGGTAATGTATGTGCTGCCCATTTTAGACAAAATTATGAAAATACAGTGCATATGAATGAGGTGGCACAGGGAGAAATACCAATCACAAATACTCACTGCATCAGAAGTTTTGCTTGGATTATTGCTGGGATTAGAAGAATGTGAATTTGAACTATGAAGAGCACTGTGGTTATGTGAGTTTTCTTGTGGAGAGTAACTGGTCCCTAAAGGAAAAAAGAAAGACAAGAAGTCAACCATCTGCATTCTAAGAAGGTGGAAAGGGAAAGGAGAGGAGAGAGGAAGAGGCAAGTTGCCTACAGCCTGGACCACAGCACAGTTCAGATGGAGAAGTAAATTAATTTTCCTGCACCTCAGTCTCTGCAATATAGGTATCGAAATTCAGAATACCAAAAGTAGCATTTCCCAAACCACCATCTGCTTCTGGCTTCCCTAACAACTACTTCTCACAGTAACCACGTTTTCCTCCTGGACATGAAAACACTTGAACACAAAAGAACATCTGGGAAATGAGAAGGGAGATAATTCTCAACACCTTTTACATCTATATTTGTGCCTAAGCTCAAGGCACCAGTTACACCCGAACAGTTTTAATTACAATTAAACAAGACCATCCATTAAACTCTTTGCAATCTTAAAACTTCCTGCCCTTAAGGCCTCCCATTCCTTGAAAATTTCTAAGCAAGTCAAAACTCTTCCGTTCTTCCTTGTATGATTTCCTAAATTTTAAATTTTTTCTTTACATTCCAGGGAAACACTTAGATATTCCAAATACAACACTCTCCTTACCTTTATCTTTCCCCCATCTACTGAGAAGTTTCTAAATACCCAGGGATATTACATTAGGCACCACTAGCTGCACATACTGTATAGCAATCTAAGTATGAAGTCAAAGTACTTTGCAAATGGCAAAGACTGTATCTTATGGGCAACTACAATAAAAAACAGTCCACTATCAGTGGACTGATATGTGGGAGTGAATGGAGCCATTAAAACAAACTTTTTTTTAAAGTCTACTGAAAGTCACACACACAGAAGATGACTAAATGATGTATCATGGTGCAGAATGGGAGAGACTATAATGCAAATTCTATCTTCTGAGCCTTCTGACTACACAAACACTAACAAAATTACTATTTCAAACTTACTGTTCGCAGCCTCTAACCCTGTAGATTGAAAAAACCACTCCATCACAAAAGCAAAGAGGTACACCATGACTAATCTCTTTAGTACCATACAAAGGTTAAAGGCTGATTTGCACACACATGAGCTATTGCAACCTGAACCATCAGTAGCTCTGAACCCTTTCCTGCACTATTTTGGCTAAACCCATGTGTCGTCCTCTTTAAAGATCTGGGGGTAAATTAGAAAAAAAAAAAAAAAAAAAAAAAAAAAAAAAAAAAAAAAAAACCAGAAGCAAGACAATTAACCCTACACCAAAAGTATCTTGTACGCTCAGAGCCAGGTGGAATGACTTAGCATTGAGGTAACTTAAGCTTGTCAAAGCAATACTCCTATCACATTCTTGTGATGCACATGAACAACAACAACAAAATCTTCTAGTGAATAATGTGACTTCACATGTTATGTACGTTAGAAAATTCCAGAACTTAAACTTTAACATACATTTATAAAACCAGACATATTTAATTACCCTAAATGTATGCAAGTAGTATATTGTAATTACAGGACCGTATTCCTCAATCTTACATTTTTCTTTTAGCCACTGAGTATGGAGTGAGATAGATGTTTAATATTTTCTTATTAATCATTCCGTTAATAGTCTGTATTTATTTACTATACCCTTCCCAAACTCTCCTGAGATAAAATTGTTAAAATTTCTTCATGTATTTCTGTAGGTTACTTAATGCAAACATACTAGTTAATTTCTACTGAGGTAAAATCATCTCCCTTTTTAAAGGAAAAAACAAGATGAAAATTTACCAGATGGCTCGTTTGAACAGTTTGATATTAGTCACTTCAAAATTTCAGGAAACACCAATGTAGTAAATTTACTGTAATCCCTTACCAAGGATGCAGTAAGACCACACTTTGTTCAGCACACTCAAGATGTAGCTGGCCATTTTTAAATACTGTAGTGGTCTAAATACACTGCAACAGTGAATCTAAACATATTTTCCAAACATGAGTCAGAGACAACATATGTATTAAATCAATAAAAATCCTTTCATGCCAGTTCTATCCAACCCATAAACAAGGCCCTCAGACTCACTGAGCAGACTTTCAGCCCCCACATGGTCTAACAGTTCAGCAGCATCCCCCCAACCATTTCACGCTGTTCCCTGCCGCCCTAGTTCCCAGGCTCAGTATTGAGTGACAAAGCACCTCGGAGAGTATCAGAGCGGCTGCAGCAGTCACACCCACCTACAGCTGGCCCGGATAGTAGAAGCGCCTACTATGCGGCAATTTCTTCCTAAGGGGCGCCTGGGCCTCCCTGTGCTGAGCTGCAGTCCTCCTAGCAGAACTCCCAGGCTGTACACCCATGGGCTTGCCCTGAATCAGGGATCCCACCCTACCAGAGCTGGCCTCAGCTACATAAAAACTGACCGCGGCTGCTCCAGCAATACTGATTGCCTCAGGTTCCCAGGGCAAGCTATGTGGGCCAATTACAATTACATGCCCAACAGTGTCTAGGACAACTACTCAGTGTAATCACAGCTGCTGGCTCACCCCCATACCTCCATTTTATTTTATGCATAATATTGCTTTGCATTTGGATCAGTACCCAAACTTCACAGGAATGAACACACGAAAGAGCTGCAAAACTGATGTTTGCTGTTGGAAAGCTTTCCAAGACCAAAGCAGATGATGCTCTGGAGAACAAGAGTTTTAGGCACTTCATACAAGTTAAGGGCTTAAAGATCATATGTAAACATCAAAACCGTATCACCAAACTAACCACATATTAAAACCTTGCTGCCTCAGTATAAAAAGGTACATACCTGCAGAGCAGTCACCTAGGAATTCTGACAATACAGCCAAGCAAGCACTGCCAGCTCAAGTTGCATGGGGAAGTCACTCAAGATCTTAAAAAGCCCACCAACTTAAAATGGTATGCAGAGAGCAACGCACAAGTGGAGGGCTACCTCTAAAAAGAAGGGGGGTTCCTCATACTTATATGCTAGCTTTCACCATTAGCAAAGCCAAATCCCGAGCCATTTTAAGGTGGCTGTGCCTTGCAATCAGCTCTATGTCTCCCAGATGCATGACTGGCAAAGTAGATCCTAAGAACAGGATCACTAAGATTAGTAAGTATCCTGGAAACAGGGTTGATAAGACAGCACACCACTGTCCCTCAAGACATTCCCTTATAGCACCTCTCACCCTTTCCACTTACATTTAGACCTTCCTTACTAGACCCACTTTCTTCAAGAAAGAGGAACAAAAATAATTGTTTTTAAAATGCTTATTAGCATACATTAAAATTCAGCAATTGTAAATATACATCTTCATTGCACCACAGGGAAATTCATACTGTGTTATAAATCCTCCAATTCAGTTACAGAACTCTCCACAAAAATGGTTACTGCACCATCACTGTGACTTTCCTCAGCTTAATCATTATTTTGGAAGTGGTTAAATCTGGAAAGAACTATTCCTCACTGGAAGATGGCCAAGAAGGGCATCAGCACTACAGTTACATAAAACTGTAGTGGTGCAACTGCATGAGCAAGCCTTCAATAACTCTATCTCTAGTGATAAACAGGTCATAGGACAGGTCACAGTCAAGGTTAAATTATCGTATCTTCAAGTCTTTCAAACAAAAACCCAATCTTCCTCACTAATGCATGAAAATCAGCAGAAAGCACAAAAAGCATGCTTCTGGGAACCAATTCAAAAACCAGGCTGTGACTTAATGCCTACTACAGATTTGAGATTCCGCCATGCCAAGACTCACTTTAACGATTTTGTAAGTAGTTTCCAGATCCAAACTGCTGAATCCAAGACAGTTTGAATAGCAACAAGGGTTCAACACTATGCTGGACTCAGAAAAAATATAACATAGGGTGAAAGAAGAATCTTCCATTTTGCAACACAGTCAGCTTCCTCTGGTATTTATCACATTTAATTTATGTCTCCATTAACATTACTCCAACTCTGTGAAATTAACGAAATTTGAAATTTTGAGTTAGCTAAGGATCAGACTGCTCTAATAAAGCAACTGATTTCTCTCCCTCCTCCCCCACCATCTTTTAAAAACAAGCTGAACTCTTTCCAAAACCTATATCCATTTACTAGCAACTACAGCATCCATTTGTAACTAGCTAAAACAAATTTTCATGCTACTTGATTAGAAGAGTCAAATACATCACTGTGCATTCCACACCATCTTTTGGCAGCCAAGTGTCTTAGCCTAATTAACTCTTTGACTCATAATATTATACAGTATCATAAACATAAACTCTCCAACTGAAATGCACAAATCGGAACACTAAGACACATTAGTGTTATCTTCAAAAGATAATCTACAATCCAGATCAGCAACCAGTAAGAAAAACCCAAACCAACCTATTTTTCATCCTCTTCAAGCAAATGTACACTGAGAAATTAGACAGTAAACAAGTTCACACACCTCCATTCACACCCAAGATTTTAGCCGGGCACAAAGAGTAAAATTACAGTAGTTGCAGTAGTATAGTGTTGTACTATACAACAGTTAAATTTCTACACATAGTATAGCATATAGTCCAACATAGAGCATTTATGTTTCCTTTTCTGTCAGACAAATACTTTGTTATTATCCTACCTATCCTTTTGTCCCTAATAAAAAGCATCAGTGAAGATAATAGCAAAATTTACAATGTTCACCAGCTGGGCAGGAAGGATGAAAAGTGCTCCCCAGCAATAAGGAGTGCTGTAACTGGAACTCAAAGGCATTCTGCCCCTTCACTTCCTCCAGAAGGAACAGGGATTCAGGAAAGGCTCTAGGATAATTGTCTTTTCTGCATCCAGAAACCAGGCATATGGAAAGAAACACTAGGCAGCAGGAAAGCTAGGAAGTTCATTCTACCTGTTTCAACTCCATACATATTGTTCTATGATTTCATGTTCCACCTCTTAGCTAATAGCAATCAAATTCATTAAACTAGAGACAATATTAGAACCTGAACTTCCTCAACTGAACAAACACTGCCCAATTGACAGACACTGATTATTTGTTAAGAGAGAAAACTTAACAGCAAGA